GAGGAACTGATAACTCACCTCAGCGTCGTCGGGCGACAGATGCGTTTGGGGGGCGAACCCCCCGACCCTCGCTCCACCTCATCGAAATGAGGCTGTTTCAAGCCCGCCCCCTGCTCTGAAACAGAGGGGCTCGGTCCCCTTGGCTCTTGGGGCATGACGGCGAAGCCGCCCACCTCTGCTAGCACCTCGGGAGCGATGGCATAGCCGCCTACCTCTGTTGGCACCTCGGGCGCGACGGCAGAGCCGCCCGCCTCCCTTGGCTCCTGGGGCAGGCCGACGGTACGGCCCACCTCCGTCGGCTCCCTGGACGTGCCCTCCCCTCCATGGAACGGGAAGGGTCCCAACGCCTGCAAGGACGAACCAATACCTGTCAGTGCATCCTTGCTCTCCAGGTTGTCCCACTTGATATCATTGGCTACCTCATCGTCGTCTCCATTGTCGTCATCATCATCATCGCTGTCAGTGTCCTCCCCTCATTCCCGCGCCTGCAGCTTCCGCTGCTTCTTCCTCTTCTTGTCCTCCTTCGCCTTCCTCAGCCGCTCACCCTCAGCACGATTCGCCGTCCTCGTGGCCCAATCCCTCGGTAATGGCGTCGGGTGATCCATGAGGATCAGGTCCCTCAGCTGGTCCCGTCCCTCTCAAAGTTAGAATCAGGGGGTCGGGAAATCAATTAAAGGGAAGGCAAGTGAAAGGGAAACTTACGAAGATGACGTAACCTGGCTCTGGACGCATCGGAGGATGCCCCGACACCGGGTAAACAAAGTCGAGGGCAGCGCCCGTGTCATCCCACAGAGGCTCCATCGCCTCCTTGATTCGTTGTGCGATCTCGGAGTTGGGGAGCGTCCCCTCGACAAGCGTCGTTCCGCCGAACAACGCCTCGGGCGCCATCACATATAGCGGGAGTGCGCACGTCATCAATGGTGCCACCCTCCTTGCGTGGTAGGCCCAAATGATGCCTGACCCCTTCAGGCCGTTCTCCTTTAAGATGTGGATGGCGGCGATGTGGTCTCGGATCTTCTTCTTGTCCTTCTCTAGGAGTCCCCACTTCCTCCATGACTCCGGGGCCTCTTCGATCAGGCGCTCGGTAAACTTTGGTAGAGGGGTGGCGGCGACGTTCTTGAGGTAGAACCATTACGAGTGCCACCCCTTATTGGACGTCGAAAGCCACATGGACGGGTACTCGCCAACCCGATTGTTCCGAAGTTGGATGCCGGCACACCCCATCGGCATGTGCAACTCCTGCTTGCTGCTCTTCTCCCTCTTCTTTTGGAGGGCGGCGGTGAAGTAATGCCTCCACAAGTCAAAGTGGGGGCTGATCCCTATGAATCCCTCGCATAACAAGATGAACGCTGCCATGTGCTGGATCCCATTGGGATTGAGGTGCTGCAGCTCAATCTTGTAGTAGTGCAGCAGCCCCCGAAGGAATTTGTGGGTGGGGGTCATGAGCCCACGCTCATGGAAGTGGGCGAACGACACCACGTAGCCATCGGGCGGCGATGGCAAATCCTCCTCGCTAGGCAGCAACCACTCCTCGGCCGAGGTCCATGCACGGAGAAGACCGCGATGGACGGGGCCCTCCAAGCACTGGAATGTGATGTCGGAACTGCACCACGGATCCATTGGAGGTGGGGGCAGATGGATGTAGGCTCAACGACGGTGGAGATGTGGAGGCAGGAAACCTAACCGATGGCGGCGATGGCGTGGCTATGGAGGCAAGGATGCAAGCGTGCATATGAAACCCGGGGGGCCAACCCTTTGGTTTTATAGGGGCGATGGGTGCGAGGAAACCAACCGCCCGCCTAGATCTCCGCACCTGCCACGACCTGCCATCACGTCTCGCCGCGCGATGTGTGCACACAACCTATGTCCGTTCCCTCGGAAAACTCACCGGATGTTTCACCTCCCCGAATGGGCCACGACCGATCACAGGTAAAAGGGATACGAAGCAAAAAACGCTCCTATGGTCCGTCTAGGCCCATGAGTTCAAAGGTTAGCCCACCGATGGGTTCGACCACCGCTCCTGGCACCATTAGAGTGGGGGTGGAAAGGCATGGGCCCGCTAAGCGGCCAGTACCAGGGCGCACGAGCACCGTGGGCATCCCGGCCCACGTTCAAGTCTCGGCTAGATACGATCCATGGTTTTTCCTCGAAGAAAGGCATAGAGCCCCTAGGACCGGTCGAACAGACCCGAGAACTATATGGATTGAACGCTGAGAATCTGGAGTTGGTCACCAAGCTGACCCAAGCCGGATCCCCGCGAACGGGATGTCGGGGCCCCACTCGGACTAGCACATTAATAACTCACCGAGCACCATGATTCATCCATAGAGAAAAATTATGGCACGGCTCGGCCCCTCTGTTTTTTATCAGAAAAAACGCTTGAGGGAAGATGATCACAAAGACGAGCCGACCCTCGATAGGACCCCTACTACGGGCGGGGGCTCAGGGAAAGTTAGACTTGCAAAGAAGACCGAACACGCAGTCGTAGAACGACAGACCCCCGAAGGGTCCGATCGCGACGAAAGAGAATCGTCGTCCTCAGGACACGCCATGGGCGACAAAAGAAGGCCAAGGCCCTCAGAGTCCTTCTGTGCGAAAAAACCTCTAGAGGAGTATTCTACTCCTTTGCTGGCTCAGGGGCTACTGTCAGGGATCAATACTAGGGTACCCGAAGAGGAGGAGCTAATGACCATCAATTTTGATTCATCCGAGCAGTTAAGAGCGCAACTACAGCTCCAACCGACCCCCTAGGTGCGCGGGCTCTGCCTCGCCCCGCCTCTGGGGGAGTGCTCCGCCTCGCCCGACCCCAGGGTCGTGCGCTCCGCCTCGCCTGACCTCTGGGAGGGGCTCCGCCTCGCCCGACCCTAAGGCCGTGGGCTCGCCCGACCCTTGGGTTTGCACTCTGCCTCGCCCGACCTCTGGGAGAGGGCTCCGCCTCGCCCGACCTCTGGGAGAGGGCTCCGCCTCGTCCGACCCTTGGGTTTGCGCTCCGCCTCGCCCGACCCCAAGGAGAGGGCTCCGCTTTGCCCGACCCCGGAGCCGCGGGCTCTGCCTCGCCCGACGGGGTCCCGTACCGCCCGCCGCCAACCACTCCAGGTCCAGGCATATGGGCCTGGATCAAAACTCTGACACCAAGGAAGAGACCGGCACACCCCAATGTAACCCATGGCCATGACGGGCCATACCTAAGGATTCACATCAAGAACAGCGTCGGGTGTACCGGTGTTGTTTTGTCTAACCCCCGTACGAACACTGACAAGCGCGTCAGCTCATCACGACGTCCGCTGCGACGGAATGGAACGCCATGACCGGCAAACGACGCCTGTGAATGATGCTAGTAGGCGGACAGGGCCGCGACGTGGAGCTGTCCCTATTGACATCTACAGGGTCGCGCGGGACCCGCGTGAAGGATGAGAAGGACCCGGCGATCCTGAGGGACTTCCTCTCTCTCGTTCTTTTCTTTTTCCTCCGTTGTAACCCTTGTTTTTCCTTTGCCTATAAAAGAGAAAGTAGGGTGTCTCATGAAGGGGACCGAAAAACGAATCATATCAACCAATTCAGAACCGATTCAAGCCAAGCCGAACCACGAGATAACAAACACACAAGCGCACGGCTGAGCAGCGACCGAGCTCTCAGCATCCGTTCACTCCTTTCACCAGAGACTTGGGACATGTCCCTCTCTCGCCCGTTTATAACCCCTACTACGAACTTTTGATGCTAGTAACACGAGCAGCAGCGACGAACTGGACGTAGCGACATTCTTTCCGAACCAGTATAAATCTCGTGTCCTCTAAGCACACCATCCGAGCCAGACGCGTAATATTAGAAATTTACTCATCGGTGGTGACTCGAAACACCGACATATTTTTTTTGAAAGTGAAAATGATACTTTTTTTGAAGGAAGGTGTCTAAAAAGCCAAAATAACCTATAATTTAAAAAGATATTTAGTAGAGGGGGGAAAACGTGAAGTTGTGAGAGAAGGTATAAGCAAGAAGAGCGCAACCACCTGGCCAGCTGCAGCTACAGCTGCAGATCCAATAACGTCTTGTTTAGTTACACCCCAAATTCCAAAAAGTTGCTACAGTACCTGTCACATCGAATGTTTGCGGCCCATGCATGGAGCATTAAATATAGACGAAAAGAAAAACTAATTGTACAGTTTGGTAGGAAATTACGAGACGAACGTTTTGAGTCTAATTAGTCCATATTTAAACACTATTTACCAAATAAAAACGAAGGTGCTACAGTAGCCCCAAAATCCAAATTTCACGAACTAAACAAGGGCTAAATAATCCACTCATTTGTCCGATTCTGTCGTTATGTACACGATCACCCAACCAACCATGATTAATCATGTCATACAGAATGATGATACTCTACAGAATATTAACAGCAGTGACGACAGACTAGAGTATGCAGCTAGTCTCCATCATTACATCAAAGGCCCTGTTTAGATCCACTACCTTATAAAAGTTATCTAGCTAATATCATATAGCTAATATTAACTGGATAATAATTTTTTTTTAGAACAAGCTGGATAACAATTCACTATCTATCTATTAGCTGAATTAGTGTTTGATAGCCAGCTAATTAACAGCAGATGCATGTGCTGGACTTCTGGTTCTCGGCGTGTGGCAGAGGTGCTGGTGCTGCGCGCCGGGATCCTTGCCAAACCAGAACACGGACGCCCGGCCGCACACGCCCGCCGCGGCCACCACGGCCTGCATTCCCGACGAGTAGTGGAACATGCCCTACTCGTGCCGCGTGCCCCAATCCTCCGCCGGCCGCCCCGTCTCGCTCACGAACCGGCGCAGCGATAGTACGTGACGAGGCGCGCGGACAGCACGTCCAGCGAGTTGAGGATGGGCACGCGGTCGCCGTAGGCGCGGCAGTACCGGCAGCCGGCCGTGCGCGCCGCGCACCGGCTCACCAACGGCAGCACCGGCTGGGTGAGCCACGGTCGAGAGCCGAGGTAGGAGACTAGCGGGGTGGCGTCGCCATGGGTGGTGGCCGCGCTGGCGGCGTTCTGCGGCAGGGGGAGGCGAGATGCCGCTGCACGTTCCCGCCGAGATGCCGCCGCAAGCGGCACGCGGATGGACGGGAGCGGCTCCGCGGGGCAGAGGTGCAGGGGCCCGAGAATGTTGCCTTCGCCCCGCAGGGCCGCATGCCGTACACGGGCGTCGCCGACGGCCGGGTCGTCTTCTGGGACGGCAAGCGGTGGGTCCCCTTCGCGACGGCCTCCCCGCGCTGGACGCAAGAGCTCGTGCAGGCGAGGAGGCGCCCGTGCAGGTGGAGCGGAGGTGAGGAGGCCCCGTGCAGGCGGCGCAGGCAGAGGGGACGCCGGCGGAGGGGCGCGGCGAAGCAAGCGAGCACCCCGGCGGCGCTGGCGAGCACCTCACAAACGCCCACGCCGCGCTCGCCTCCAAGGTGCCTGGCCTCGGACGTCCTCGCCGGCCGTGACGACAGGGCTGCCGTGGTTCGCAGCGCTGTCGAGCGGCGTGGAGGCCGGCGCGGCGTCGCCGGCCGTGGAGTTGGTGGCGGCGTCCGGGTCGGCGGGGGCCACGGCCGAGCGTGCGTGCGACAGTGACGCGGATGGCAGGAAGGGATAAGTGCCGTGTTGGCTTGGTGCCTGTTCAGTTCTTAAAATTTTACAAAATTTTCAAGATTCTTCGTCACATCAAATCTTTCACGTATGTATGAAGCATTAAATATAAATAAAAAATAAAAACTAATTACATAGTTTAGACGAAATTCACGATACGAATCTTTTAAACCTAATTAAACTATGATTGAACACTAATTGTCAAATAATAATAAAAGTATTACAATACCATTTCTAAAAAAATTTCACCAACTAAACAAGGCCTGGCTGGATAAAGTAGCGTGTGCTGATTGAGAAAAATACGGCTGTCTCCTGAAAAAGTACCGACTACTAAGCCAGACGGATACGACGCTAGATGAGAAAAGATTGGGCTGTGGGGCCTACTCATTAGCTGTTATTATCTAATTTAATTCAACTAGTGAGATATTGAGATAGTAGTTATCCAGAGGTTCAACTAGTAGCTATCTAATTCTCTATCTATAACTATTTGGATAAAAAAAGATAGTTATTAACATATAGCTACCCGAACCTCTCTCTCTATATATATATATATATATATATATATATATATATATATATATAAACCATGTCGGACTCTCTCTGTGCTACTCTATTGGTGATCAAGACAGTTACACAGCACAGCTAGGGGTGAAAATTGTATGGATATTTTTCGACCATATTCGAGACCGAATTTGTTTAGAGGGATTCAAATCTGTTCGTATCCAAGTTCAGATATTTTTTTACATCTGATACCGTATTGGTATCCGAATAATCAAATTGTATATTTATGATATCGATATCTAATTGTAACCTATCCGACATGGTTGACAATATCTATATTCGTATTCGAATCTAAATCTAGCCAGAAATATAAAAATAAATATAATATCAGTTATATATTCGTCGGTATCCTATTCGTTTTTGTCAACCGCAGCACATGATCGACTATACTAGTCGTATCTCGTACGTGCTGTACTGTCACCGTGCCGACGGGCAGGGCCCCGCGCGGGGGTGACGGAGAAGCAACTCCCAAGCAAGCAAGAGAGATGCGAAACCATCAAGACGCGCTGACCCGCGAACCAACCAACACGGACGACACCACGTCACGTGACGTGAACCCGCACCACCAGCACCAACGGGACGAGCGGGCAGACGACCGAGAGAGACAAGCCGGGACGCCGGCGATGGACCCCTGTGCGGCGGTGCCCTGCGCCTCTGCTTCCCTCTGTTCCCTTGTTTTGGGACAAATGCCAGCTTCAGCTAGCATCACAGAGAGCAAGCAAGCTGGAAGGCTAAATTCCATTTCCGGGCCAGGCCACTCCGTGGGCTCATGACATACTAGTAGACTATATTATAAGCTCGAATGCCACGAGCATAATCACATGCAAGCAAGACACGTGCCCAGATATTCAAAAGGATTTATTTCATCTTCAGGATTTATTTAGTAGCCAATTTTGTGAACCCAATAATACCTCAATTAATTATCCAAACTCTATCTATCCGTAACAGTTTCTTCATTTTAGTTTATTTATTATATTACTAATTTGTGTTTGTCTTTCTTCGTATGCCACAGATGACAGATCCCATGGTGTCTGCTACCGACAACAATGGCCTGATCGTAGAGGAGCTTTCCTTGGAGGTCAGCACATTGATGACGACTTTGGAGTTCGCCACAAGCAAGAGCATTGAGACTCATGCATACCGCGAGGTGACAATAATAGCGAGACACGTGGAGTCTAGCGGCGGCTGATGTGGCGTGGACCCCGCATTTTGTGTCAATATCTTGATTATCAAACTTGGAATCCACTAGTTTTTCTTTCTAAATCCATAGAAAATCAAGCTCATTGCTTGCGGGGAAATTCTCTCTCCTAATACAGGATTGATAATCTTCGAGAAAATCAAGTTCTATCTATCCATACCAATTTCTTCATTTTAATATCTCAATTATCAAACTTCGGATCCACCACATTTTTTCTTTCTAAATCCATAGGAAATTCAAGTTCCTTGCTTGCGGGGAAATTCTCTCTCGTAGTAGGATTGATAATCTTTGAGAAAATTAAGTTTTATCTATCCATAGCAATTTCTTCATTTTAATATTGCAATTTTGTGCTTGTCTTTATTATTCGTGTGCCACACGACCCCATTTTAATATTACAATTTGTGCTTGTCTTTATTATTCGTGTGCCACACGACCCCATCTTAATATTACAATTTGTGCTTGTCATCATTTTAGTATTGCAATTCGTGCTTTTGTCTTTATTCGTGTGCCGCATATCCCATGGATGGCTTTGATCGCAAAGGAGGTCGGAGGTGAGCAGCAGCAGTCACAAAAAAAAAAAGAGTATCACTAATTTACTATCACCATCACCACACGAAGGTAGTACTTGTGACTACAAAGTAAAAAGCGCAACCAGCCGCAGCTACGGATCCATCAATCCATTCATTCATCCGATAATCTGTCTTCGTATGCCACAGATCCCACGGTGTTTGCTACCGACAACGCTTGATCGTAGAGGAGCTTGGAGGTGAGCAGTCATAAAAAGTGTATCACTAATTCACTATCAGTAGAGAGAAAAAGAAAAGCGTGTCACCATCACCACGCAGAGGTAGTACTTGTGATGAGATTACAAAGTATAAGTAAGAAAATCCGATTCTGTGGTTATGTACATGATCGATCACCCAACCAACCATTATTCATCATATCGTACATACAGTATGATGATTATCTATACAATACAAAATACTAACAGCAGTGACGTACGACAAACTAGAGTATTTAGCTAGTCTACGTAGGCAGAGCAAGCAGTCTATGTGAAATGAAATAAATAAGTCTCACTCTCTGAGACTCTATACGTAACCAACGCAACGCAACAACAAACACATGTAACGTAACCAAGACGAGCGACGCCGACGGCGACGGGCGGTGGTGGCGGACGGAGAAGCAGGCAACCAAAGCAAGAGGAGATGCGAACGAAGCGATGCATCAGGACGCACCGAACCGCGAACCAACGTGACGTGACGGTGAACCCGCACCGAGCACGCACGGGATTCGGCGCGCGGGGCAGACGAGAGAGAGACAAGCAGCCTTGACGCCGGCGGCGACGGACCGGCCCGTCCGTCGCCCTCACCATCATCAACTAGAGCTTGGTGCGGTTGCGGCACTGCTGGGAGCGCACCCGCATCTCAGGAACACCAAAGACGATGCTACAATCCGAGTACGCCACGGCGTGGCGCTTGAACAGGCCCAGGATGTTGACCTTCCCGGGGATCCTGGTGGCGGTCTCGAGCTGCACGGCGCCGCCCTCGACGTCGCCGATCAGCTGTAGCAGGTCGGACGCGAAGCGGTCGGCCTGGAGCGTGAGCGCGAGGCTGACGTTGGCGTCGCCGCGGCTCGGGATCCGGCCCGGGTAGATCTCCGCGGACCCGACCTGGACGCCCCGGTAGGTGAGGTCCGTGTGGCCCCCGGCGGCGTACGCGAAGGAGGCCGGGTTCGGGTTGTGGACTGACACCACGAGGAGGAGGGTTATGTTGAGCTGGAGCGAGACGGCCGGGAAGGTCAGGCGGGGCGCGACCCCGGAGAGTTTGGTGGAGACGACGCGGGTTGTGGGGTCGCGGACGCGGAGGACCGTGAGGAAGAGGACCAGGAGGGTGATGGCGAGCGCGGCGAGGAAGGCGAGGGTTATGAGGAGGCAGATGCAGAGGCAGCGCCGGCGTGGGTTGGGGGAGGTGGTGGCGGGCTTGGTGGAGGAGGAAGCAGGGTCGGCGGGGGCGGACGGGGTTGTGTGCGTCGGGAGGACGCTGCCGGAGGTGGACGCCATTGGATGGATTGGGATTTGGGAGGGATCGCGGACGGGGTGGGGCGGGCGGCGATGCGAAGGCAGGCAGAGGCAACTGAATAGGGTGTTGCCGCTTGCCGGACGGCGGCGGGGCGGGAGGGAGGCACTAGAAGTTTAATGAGGAGGAGGACGGGGGAGCGGCGGACGGGGTGAGGTCGGGGGTTATGAGTATTAAATATAAACTAAAAAAAATAATTAATAGTACAGATTATGACAAGTTGTGATTCAAATTTTTTAAATCTAATTAATTCATAATTTGATAATAAAGTGCTACTGTAATACATGTGCTAATGACGAATTAATTAGGTTTAATAAATTCGTCTCATAGTTTATTTTTCTAGTAGTATCCGAACACCTCATACAACACTGTAACATCCTTATTAGTATCCGAACACCCCATATGACACTGTGACACTCTAAAACTTTACACCCTAAAACTAAACAAACAGTCTATTCATTGGTTGGTTTCAGCCAGGACTTATCAACCAGTCAACAGTGTTTTTCTCTTACAGCAAATCAGCACCGGCCAGACTTATATGTCCAGAATCAACCAGCAAACGTGCCGAAAGCCAAAACTGACTGATGACAAGGCGTGGGCATGGGGATTGAAATTCGTTCCCCTCTCTCTCCTGGTTGGATCGGTTGACGACGTGGTGGAGACGGAGAGGGGGTTGCGTGAGCCTGGCTGACAGCGACAGCTGTGCGTCCCTCCGTTTGTAGAGTAAAGCAAACCGACACGCCGTTGGTTCGTGGAGGGGTTTCGTTCTCCCACCCCCGAAGCCATCCCGTCCAGTTGGAGTCGCTGCTGCACTACTGCATCAGCAGAGGACCTGCGTTGTGGTGCATCCCTGTTACTGGTAATCGTATACAGGGAGTTCATTCGCTGCATCAGGAGCCGTCGCTGTTGGATTCGAGTACTCGTATTCGACGACCACCTGGTTGGCTGGCGGCGGCAAAAGTCGTCACGTTCCGTTCCGCGCCCACGTCCACCACCGCTTAACATTGAAGCTGCCGGATGGATCATTGTAGCAGCAGTTGGAAACTAGTATGGATACTATACAGCAGCTGGCTGCAGCACATCCCAAAGTATGTATCCGGTACGCGTTTGATACGTCGTGGATGTGTATCTGAGAACGTATCGCCTCTGAT